GCTAGGAGGGCTAGGGGGGAGGGGCAAGGGGGCTAGGGGGGAGGGGCTACGGGAGCTAGGGGGGAGGGGCTAGGGGGGAGGGGCAAGGGGCCTAGGGGGGAGGGGCAAGGGGGCTAGGGGGAGGGGCTAGGGGGGCGGGGCTAGGAGGCTAGGGGGGGCTGGGGGGGAGAGGCTAGGGGGGAGGGGCTAGGGGGCCTAGGGGGGAGGGGCAAGGGGGCCAGGGGGGAGGGGCTAGGGGGGCGGGGCAAGGGGCTAGGGGGGAGGGGCTAGGGGGTCACGTGCCAGCAAGGGTAGCGGAGTCCATGGAGAGGTGACGGAGGATCTCCTCCTCCTCACTGGAGGCTTCCCGAGCGCGGTAGTTGTACTGCACTGCTACGTCCCCCTCCTCCTCCTCCTCCTCGTCAACGTCGTCATCGTCCCCACCGTCGTCCCTCCGCTCCCCTGGGTGGGGGAGGGGGGGGGCACGGCAACGTCACTCACCCACCCACTCACCCACCCACTCACCCACCCACTCACCCACCCACTCACTCACCCACTCACCCACGCACCCACCCACCCACGCACCCACCCACCCACGCACCCACCCACCCACGCACCCACCCACCCACTCACCCACCCACCCATTCACCCACCCACCCATTCACCCACCCACCCACCCACCCACTCACCCACCCACCCACCCACTCACGCACCCACTCACCCACTCATCCACCCCCCCACTCACTCACTCACGCACCCACCCACCCACTCACCCACCCACTCACCCACCCACCCACTCACTCACTCACGCACCCACCCACTCACCCACCCACCCACTCACCCACTCACCCACCCACCTACTCAACCCACTCACCCACTCACCCACCCACTCACCCACCCACTCACCCACCCACCCACCCACCAACACGATGCTGGTCCGGAATGAGCTGAGCGGCGAAGGTGGCCTGGTCCAGGCCAGCAGCGGAGAGAGCCTGAGCCGTCACCACGACCTCGATGGGAACCAGCAACTCCACCTGGAGGGGATTGGCCCAACGTGAAACTAAACTCCAACTAACGACTCATACAGAGACCCACAAACACCCACAGAGACCTATAAAGACCCATAGAGACCCACAGAGACCTATAAAGACCCACAGAGACCCATAGAGACCCACAGAGACCTATAAAGACCCATAGAGACCCAGAGACCCACAGAGACCCACAGACACCCGCAGAGACCCACAGAGACCCACAGAGACCCACAGAGACGCACAGAGACCCACAGAGACCCATAGAGACCCATAGAGAAACAAAGAGACCCACAGAGACCCACAGAGCACCATAGAGACCCACAGAGACCCACAGAGACCTATAAAGACCCACAGAGACCCACAGACACCCACAGAGACCTATACAGAGACCCACAGAGACCCATAGAGACCCACAGAGACCCATAGAGACCCACACAGACCTATAAAGACCCACAGAGACCCACAGAGACCCACAGACACCCACAGAGACCTATACAGAGACCTACAGAGACCTATAAAGACCCACAGAGACCTATAAAGTCCCACAGAGACCTATAAAGACCCACAGATACCCCTACTGTAATGTTACCAATGATGTCAGCGTGTGGTAGGGGTGTGTTACCATCACCATCACCACCACCATCACCACCTCCATCACCACCACCACCACCACCATCACCACCACCATCACCACCTCCAACACCACCACCACCATCACCACCACCACTATCACCACCACCATCACCACCTCCATCACCACCACCATCACCACCACCACTACCACTATCACCACCACAATCACCACCACCTCCATCACCATCACCACCATCACCACCACCACTACCACCATCACCACCATCATCACCACCACCACCATCACCACCTCCATCACCACCACCACCACTACCACCATCACCACCATCATCACCTCCACCACCACCATCACCACCACCTCCATCACCACCATCATCACCATCACCACCACCATCACCACCACCACTATCACCACCATCACCATCACCACCACCATCACGACCACCACCACCACCACCATTATCACCACTATCACCACCATCACCACCATCATCACCATCACCATCATCACCATCACCACCACCACCACCATCACCACCACCATCACCACCACCACCACCATCACCACCATCACCACCACCATCACCACCACCACCATCAGCATCACCACCTCCACCATCACCACCACCATCACCACCACCACCATAACAACCATCACCACCATCACCACCACCATCAGCACCTCCATCATCACCACCACCACCACCTCTACCACCACCACCAACATCACCACCACCACCATCACCACCACCACCATCACCACCTCCACCATCACCACCACCATCACCACCACCACCACCTCCATCACCACCACCACCACCACCATCACCACCACCACCATCACCACCACCATCACCACCACCATCACCACCACCATCACCACCACCACCTCCACCACCACCTCTACCTCCACCACCACCATCACCACCACCACCACCACCACCTCCACCACCACCTCCACCACCACCACCTCCATCACCACCACCACCACTACCACCACCACCATCACCACCACCACCACTACCACCACCACCATCACCACCATCACCACCACCTCCACCACCATCATCGCCACCATCACCACCACCACCATCACCACCACCACCACCATAACAACCACCACCACCATCACCACCACCACCACCTTGGCGTGGTCTAGCCGGGCGATGTCGGCGTGTGGCAGCGCCGTCCGCGTCACCGCCGTGGTTCTCCACCACACCGGCAGCCCCACCAGGAGCGAGAACGCCGCCACAAACACCGCCGAGAACTTCTGCGGGGACATCCCCGCTGGCGAACAACAACAATGACGTCAACAACGACAACAATGACGTCAACAACGACAATGTCAACAACAACAATGACGTCAACAACGACAATGTCAACAACAATGACGTCAACAACGACAATGACGTCAACAACGACAATGTCAACAACAATAATGTCAACAACAATAACATCAATCACTTGCTCACTCAATCAATCACTCACTCAATCACTCACTCAATTACTCACTCAGTTACTCACTCACTCAATCACTCACCCACTCACTCAATTACTCACTCAGTTACTCACTCACTCAGTCACTCACTCAATCACTCACTCACTCAGTTACTCACTCAGTCACTCAATCAATCACTCACTCAATCACTCTCTCAATCACTCACTGACTGAGTCACTCACTCAATAACTCACTCAATCACTCACTCAATCAGTCACGCAATTACTCACTCAGTTACTCACCCATTCAATCGCTCAATCCCTCACTCAATCACTCACTCAACCACTCAATCACTCACTCACCCACTCAATCACTCACTCAATCAGTCACGCAATTACTCACTCAGTTACTCACCCATTCAATCGCTCAATCCCTCACTCAATCACTCACTCAACCACTCAATCACTCACTCACCCACTCAATCACTCACTCAATCACTCGCTCAGTTACTCAACCACTCACTCAATCACTCACTCAATCACTCACCCAATCATTCACCAACACTACAGAGACCCATAAAGACCCAGATCCATAGAGACCCATAGAGATCCAGAGACCCACGGAGATACAGAGACCCATAGAGACCCATAGAGACCCAGACCCATAGAGACCCATAGAGACCCAGACCCATAGAGACCCATAGAGATGCAGACCCATAGAGACCCACAGAGACCCATAGAGATCCATAGAGACCCAGATCCATAGAGACCCATAGAGACCCAGACCCATAGAGATACAGAGACCCAGATCCATAGAGATACAGAGACCCATAGAGACCCAGACCCATAGAGACCCATAGAGATACAGACCCATAGAGACCCATAGAGATCCATAGAGACCCAGATCCATAGAGACCCATAGAGACCCAGACCCATAGAGATACAGAGACCCAGATCCATAGAGATACAGAGACCCATATAGACCCACACCTATAGAGACCCACAAGGATACAGAGACACACTGAGATACAAAGACCCATAGAGACCCAGATCCATAGAGACCCATAGAGATACAGAGACCCATAGAGACCCAGATCCAGAGACCCATAGAGATACAGAGACCCATAGAGACCCAGATCCAGAGACCCATAGAGATACAGAGATCCATAGAGACCCACTGAGATAGAGACCCAGATCCATAGAGACCCATAGAGATCCAGAGACCCACTGTGGATCTCTATGGGTCTCTATGTGTGTGCGTCTATGTGTCTGTGTGTGTCTATGTCTATGTGTCTGTGTGTGTCTATGTGTGTATGTGTCTATGTGTGTGTCTCTCTGTGTCTCTGTGTGTCTCTGTGTGTCTATGTGTCTGTCTCTGTGTGTGTCACCGTATGTGTGTCTCTGTGGGGAGCGATAGTGTAGCGGTTAGCGCTACGCTGCACTGTGAACCTGGCGACCCGGGTTCGATTCCCGCTCACGGCCAACACCAGTGACGATTATCTGAACCGGTCCCAGGCCTCCCCTTAGGTCGACTCAGCCTCAAATGAGTACCTGGTGCGATGTGTAAACATCGCCACTGGGGAGACAAAGGCGGTCGGGCGTGGTGCTGGCCACCCACCCCCTCGTGTACCGTTCCGGCCTTCATAGGTGCTCGCTAACAACACTTGCCTCTACAGTCTGTTAAGGCTATACGGGGGATCTTTGTCTCTCTCTGTGTGTGTATCTGTGTGTCTGTGTGTTTGTCTCTGTGTGTCTGTGTGTGTGTCTGTGTGTGTCTCTGTGTGTGTGTCTCTGTGTGTCTCTCTGTTTGTCTCTGTGTCTCTCTGTGTGTGTCTCTCTCTGTGTCTCTCTGTGTGTGTCTCTCTCTCTATCTCTGTGTGTGTCTCTGTGTGTGTCTCTCTGTGTGTTTCTCTGTGTGTTTCTCTGTGTGTCTCTGTGTCTCTCTGTGTGTGTCTCTCTGTGTGTCTCTGTGTCTGTGTCTCTCTCTGTCTGTGTCTCTGTGTGTGTGTGTCTCTGTGTCTCTCTGTGTCTCTGTGTGTGTCTCTGTGTCTCTCTGTGTCTGTCTCTCTGTGTCTCTGTCTCTCTCTGTCTCTGTGTCTCTGTGTCTCTCTCTGTGTCTCTGTCTCTGTGTCTCTCTGTCTGTGTTTCTCTCTGTGTCTCTCTCTGTGTCTCTCTCTGTGTCTCTGTGTGTGTGTCTCTGTCTCTCTCTGTGTCTGTGTCTCTGTGTCTCTCTCTCTCTGTGTGTCTCTGTGTCTCTCTCTGTGTCTCTGTGTCTCTCTCTCTGTGTCTCTGTCTCTGTGTTTCTCTGTCTCTGTGTGTCTCTCTCTGTGTCTGTGTCTCTCTCTGTGTGTCTCTCTCTGTGTCTCTCTCTGTGTCTCTCTCTGTGTCTGTGTCTCTGTGTGTCTCTGTCTGTGTCTCTGTCTGTGTCTCTCTCTGTGTCTCTCTCTGTGTCTCTCTCTGTGTCTGTGTCTCTGTGTTTCTCTCTGTGTGTGTATACTTCACCTGTCGTATCGGCAGCCATTGAGTGGCGGTTGATGGGTGGGTAAGGCCGAGACGGTGGCCGCGCGAGGGTCAAAACGCTGCGCCGCCGCCGCCGCTGTGTGGTGAAAAACGCGATTGTAAAATGGCGAGCGCCGCCTTCGCTTTCTGCGTCCGTGGGTGTAGGGGACACAATTTTATTTTTTATTCGCTCGAATCTCGACAGTTTTATGTTTTTTTTTACTTATAAGAAATAAGTTTCAACGTCGCTGTAAACTAATTTTTTTTACACCTTTACTCAGAGAGAGAGAATAAAAAAATAAGATTTGCGGCTTACGGTGGAGGAAGTATTCTTCCGGAAGAAGAATATGTCTCTAGCGGACGTAAAGAAAACAGTTCTTCCGGAAGATCTATTCCTCTTCCGGAAGATGTCTTCTGATAGACGCAACAAGAAGCTATTTTCCAACTACCTCTACCGGAAGACGTCTTCCTCCGCATCTTCCAGTGGCGGTAGACGTCTTCCGTATCTTCCAGTGGCGGTAGACGTCTTCCGCATCATCCGGTGGCGGTAGACGTCTTCCTCCGCATCTTCCGGTGGCGGTAGACGTCTGTCGTATCTTCCGGTGGCGGTAGACATCTTCCGCCGCCAACTGAACGGAAGGAAGCGGCTCTGGTGTCTTTAACGCGAACGCGTTCGCCGATTTTGGCGTCGATCAATCAGCATCAGCAACACGAATTATCGTGATTATGAATGATCAATAAGTTATAATTACCAATAGGCGAGTTTATAATTAGGAGTATGCCTTCGTAGCGACTACGAGGACGACCGGCGTACCTTTAAGGCGACTATCTCCACGGTAAGGCGCTCTTAACGTGAGCCTGGTTTGAGTTTATTTATATTATAAAGCTTATTTAGTACATAATGCGTATAGTATGAAGTCTTCTTGGTCCTTTCGGTAAAGTCACCACGTAGAATGGAGATAAAATAATACAAATAATGACGATAATTTTTTATTCTGTTGGAGATAAGATGATAAAAATAATAACAATAATTTTTATTCTGTTATTATTATTTTAAATAATAACAATAATTTTTATTCTGTTATTTTTATTATTTTATCTCCATTCTACGTGGTGGTGACTTTACCGAAAGAACCCAGCAGATGAATCCCTACAGTCACGAATGCTTTAAATATAAATGTTCACTATAAAGCTTATGTAGAACATAATGAATATAGTATAAAGCTTATATAGGACATAATGTATATAGTATAAAGCTTATATAGGACATAATGAATATAGTATAAAGCTTATATAGGACATAATGTATATAGTATAAAGCTTATATAGAACATAATGTATATAGTATAAAGCTTATATAGGACATAATGTATATAGTATAAAGCTTATGTAGAACATAATGTATATAGTATTAAGCTTATATAGGACATAATGTGTATAGTATAAAGCTTATATAGGACATAATGTATATAATGTATATAGTATAAAGCTTATATAGAACATAATGTATATAGTATAAAGCTTATATAGAACATAATGTATATAGTATAAAGCTTATATAGGACATAATGTATATAGTATAAAGCTTATATAGGACATAATGTATATAGTATAAAGCTTATGTAGAACATAATGTATATAGTATGAAGCTTATATAGGACCTAGTCTATATAGTACAGAGTCTACGTATTAGTAGTGTAGTAGTAGTGGTGGTGATAGTGAGTGGTAGTGAAATTTAGTACAGAGTTGCTTATAGTATAAAGTTGCTTATAGTACAGAGCCTAAATAGTACATAGTTTATATAGTACAGAGTTTATATAGTACGTAGTTTATATAGTACATAGTTTATATACGTAGTTTATATAGTAAATAGTTTATATAGTAAATATTTTATATAGTACATAGTTTAAATAGTACGTGGTTTATATAATACAGAGTTTATATAGTACGTAGTTTATATAGTACATAGTTTATATACTACGTAGTTTATATAGTAAATAGTTTATATAGTAAATAGTTTATATAGTACATAGTTTAAATAGTACATGGTTTATATAGTACAGAGTTTATATAGTACATGGTTTATATAGTACATAGTTTAATTAGTACATAGTTTATATACTACGTAGTTTATATAGTAAATAGTTTATATAGTAAATATTTTATATAGTACATAGTTTAAATAGTACATGGTTTATATAGTACAGAGTTTATATAGTACAGAGTTTATATAGTACGTAGTTTAATTAGTACATAGTTTATATTCTACATAGTTTATATAGTACGTAGTTTAAGTAGTACATAGTTTATATAGTACACAGTTTATATAGTACATAGTGTATATAGTACATAGTTTATATAGTATAAAGCTTATATAGTACATAGTCTATATAGTATAGAGCTTATATAGTACATAATGTATATAATATGAAGCTTATATAGTACATGGTTTATATAGAAGTAGTATTGGTGGTGACAGGTTAGGGTACATAGTTGCTTAAAGTACGTAGTATAGTGGTAGTACGTGGTGTACTGTACGGTGTAGTTACGTTATAGATGTTACAACAATTTATACAAAACCGTAGTGTTATTATACTAATGTGTGTGTGTGGTGTATTTATATTATAAGTGTGCAATTGATTACAGTGTGGGTATTCACAGTTTGTGTCTGGTATATTCAGTGTGTTCGGGTCGAATTCAACTTTCAGTAGCAATACAAGCTTTAACTTGTCGATAATTCCAACGTGTAACAACTATCAGGCTCGGTAGGTGTGCGACTCTCCATCGCTACGAAACGAGACTAAGACTCCAGTCCTGCCAACCGTACGATAACAACAACGTCATCATCATCAATTCAAGGTACGGTACTTGAAGTTAACTGCAATTAGTTGAGAGCTACTTTAACAACTATCAGGCTCGGTAGGTGTGTGACTCTCCATCGCTACGAAACGAGACTAAGACTCCAGTCCTGCCAACCGTACGATAACAACAACATCAACGTCATCATCATCATCAATTCAAGGTACGGTACTTAAAGTTAACTGCAATTAGTTGAGAGCTACTTTAACAACTATCAGGCGCGGTAGTGTGTGTACACGCATCGCTAAGATCCGGACAAGATCGCGGCCATATCAACCGTGATCACGACGTTTGGATCGCATCACATAGCGATCTTCGTCAGGTGAGACATCCACGGTAATTGATTCGTAAAAGCCACCGGGGTAGAGCGACTTTAACAACTATCAGGCTCGGTAGGTGTGTGACTCTCCATCGCTACGAAACGAGACTAAGACTCCAGTCCTGCCAACCGTACGATAACAACATCAACATCATCGTCATCATCATCATCAATTCAAGGTACGGTACTTAAAGTTAACTGCAATTAGTTGAGAGCAACTTTAACAACTATCAGGCTCGGTAGGTGTGTGACTCTCCATCGCTACGAAACGAGACTAAGACTCCAGTCCTGCCAACCGTACGATAACAACAACGTCAACGTCATCATCATCATCATCAATTCAAGGTACGGTACTTAAAGTTAACTGCAATTAGTTGAGAACTACTTTAACAACTATCAGGCTCGGTAGGTGTGTGACTCTCCATCGCTACGAAACGAGACTAAGACTCCAGTCCTGTCAACCGTACGATCACAACAACGTCATCGTCATCATCATCATCATCAATTCAAGGTGCGGTACTTAAAGTTAACTGCAATTAGTTGAGAGCAACTTTAACAACTATCAGGCTCGGTAGGTGTGTGTGTGTGTGTGTATCTCTATAACTGTGACCCAGGACTATTCCCCAGTCCTATCAACCGTACAGCTGACAACGACAATAACAATTTTGATTGAAACTTTTCGTGACTGCAGTGATTCATATTCTTGGTCCTTTCGGTAAAGTCACGTTGAAGGGAAACAATAAATAATAAAATATATAAAACAATAAAATTCTCGCGACGCTAAGATGCCAGCTAGCAACCTCAGCACAGATGAGCGTTTTGAATTATATAAATTAAAAAAAGAGGGATGACATTGTAGTCCTCTCAGCCGATAAGGGCAATGCCACTGTCATCATGGATGAAACAGAATACAACAACAACAACAACAACAAAATTTAAGAATTACTCGACGCTGGCAGCTATACAAAAATAAAAAAAGAGATCCCACCAACAGCCTCGTCACACAAACCAACAGAATAATTTCTGATTCGACCGCATTAATTGATCAAACTGAACAGTTTCCGTTGAAACCTTCTGCTGCCAGGCCACCAAGATTATGCGGCTTACCAAAACATACATGAAGTAGAGACACCCCCTCACTCCAGCGCTGTCCTACCAGACAGTCTCGCCCCCTTCACCTGATGAAGGCCGCTTGTGTTGTGGCCGAAACGTCGTGAGAATATTATCGTGTTATTTTACTTTATCAATTTATTACTTTATTATCATTCTACGTGACTTTACCGAAAGAACCAAAGAAGATAGAGACACCCCCCCCCTTCGTCCCATCGTCTCTACTATCAACTCCCCCACCTACAAGCGCCCCTTGGTTCTTTCGGTTCAAGTGACGTGGAAAGATAATGCATTTGAATGTGATGACAGAATATGACGTTTCGATTGCAGGAGAAGCAGTCGTCATCGGGTAAGAATGAATGAGGAAACCAGCCTCCTAAGTCTTGATTGAAAGCTTTCGTGACTGCAGTGATTCATATTCTTGGCTCTTTCGGTAAAGTCACCACGTTGAAGGGAAACAATTAAATACGAGTCCGTCTATGTTCTGAAAAGAGGAGGAGGGGGAGAGACGAAAAATTAATGTACGCTGCCTGAAAGCCACCGCAAGCGTGAACAATCAAGGCCTGAAATGGTTTATCGAATCCTTCCAATGATTGCTAAGCCAGAATCCATCTTCTCGGTTGAAATTGGTCTAGCAAATAGTAGTGTAGTGTATAGTAGTGTAGTGTATAGTAGTGTGGTGTATAGTAGTGTAGTGTATAGTAGTGTAGTGTATAGTAGTGTAGTGTATAGTAGTGTAGTGTATAGTAAGGTGGTGTATAGTAGTGTAGTGTATAGTAGTGTAGTGTATAGTAGTGTGGTGTATAGTAGTGTGGTGTATAGTAGTGTGGTGTATAGTAGTGTAATGTATAGTAGTGTAGTGTATAGTAGTCAAGCAAATAGTAGTGTAATGTATAGTAGTGTGGTGTATAGTAGTCTAGCAAATAGTAGTGTAGTGTATAGTAGTGTAGTGTATAGTAGTCTAGCAAATAGTAGTGTAGTGTATAGTAGTGTGGTGTATAGTGTAGTGTATAGTGTAGTGTATAGTAGTGTGGTGTATAGTAGTGTAGTGTATAGTAGTGTAGTGTATAGTAGTGTGGTGTATAGTGTAGTGTATAGTGTAGTGTATAGTAGTGTGGTGTATAGTAGTGTAGTGTATAGTAGTGTAGTGTATAGTAGTGTAGTGTATAGTAGTGTAGCAAATAGTAGTGTAGTGTATAGTAGTGTGGTGTATAGTAGTCTAGCAAATAGTAGTGTAGTGTATAGTAAATTTTGATTTAAAGCTTTCGTGACTGCAGTGATTCATATTCTTGGCTCTTTCGGTAAAGTCGCCACGTTGAAGGGAAACAATAAAATGATAAAATATATATGAAACAATAAAAAAATTCTCACGACGTTTCGACCACAACACAAACGGTCGTTGGTTTTTTCACACCTGATTACGTTACGGTCGAAACGTCGTGATAATTTTTTATTGTTTTATATATATTTTTTTATTATTGTATTGTTTCCCTTCAACGTGACTTTACCGAAAGAGCTAAGAATAAGCCTACGAAGCTTATAAATAGAATGCAATACAACACACGACAGACGGCACCCTTCCTGGTTGATTGACGTTCTTCCAAAGATTGCTCAATTCGAGAGAGAGACGAAACACAGATACAGAGAGACACACACACAAGCATAGGCACACCTGTGTGTCTATGCTTGTGTGTGTGTGTGTCTACGTGTAGAGAAGAGATGTAGTGACGTGGTGCAGGAGGACGTGCAGCTGAGTGGACTTGCCCATGACCGGTACCGGCGGTGTCAAGATCGGCCTCTGTGGAGGAGGAGGCTCGTGAAGGACGCCGCCGCTGGGCAGTTGGAGGCAGTCGCCCTCCAACAACAGCGGAGGGCGGAGGAGCGACGCTCACAACAACGAGCGGAGCGCCGGGTGGCTAAAGCGCAGCAGGTTGGCACAGTAGGGGGCACAGGTGGTGCATCAGCCACAGTCATCTCAGTCAGTCGACCCGTGGCACCTGGGTCTGCCCCGTGACCTCCTGCCGGCGGGCGTTCGACACTTCACGTGGCCTCAGGGTGCACATGGCCTGGCACAAGCGTCGTGGTGACGTCACCGCCACTCAGTGGCTAATGGCGGTTGTTGTCGTCTCTCTCCGCTTGTGTGTGTGCGCGCGTCTCCGTGTTTTGTCTCTCTCGCCAAATTTAGCAACCCTTTGGAAGGGTAACTTAAAAGTCTGCCCGTCACTATTTCGTCGGCAGGAAAAGAGCAAATCCTCGGCCCCGTCCCCCGCGCAAGCGACTGTGACGGCTATCAGGCGCGGCGAGGATGTCCATCTTCACGCCCACCAACCAGATCCGCCTCACGAATGTGGCCGTGGTTCGCATGAAGAGGGCGGGCAAGCGCTTCGAGATCGCCTGCTACAAGAACAAAGTGCTCGGCTGGAGAAGCAACGTGTGAGTGTTTGACAAAAAAACTAAAAAAAGCTACGACCACCGTCGCCACCACTAATACGAGACTGTTCAAAGATGTTGACCGCCTCGCCTGGCTCCGCAGGAAGGTCGTGGGTTCCATTCCCGACCCGGAGAGATGTTGACCACCTCGCCTGGTCTGCAGGAGGTCCCGTGGGATCGATTAGCCTGAGAGATGTTGACTACCTCGTTTGGTCTGCAGGAGGTCGTGGGTTCGATTAGCCTGAGAGATGTTGACTACCTCGCCTGGTCTACAGGAGGTCGTGGGTTCCATTCCCGACCCTGAGAGATGTTGACTACCTCGCCTGGTCCGCAGGAGGTCATGGGTTCCATTCCCGACCCGGAGAGATGTTGACCACCTCGCCTGGTGTGCAGGAGGTCCCGTGGGTTCGATTAGCCTGAGAGATGTTGACTACCTCGTTTGGTCTACAGGAGGTCCCGTGGGTTCGATTAGCCTGAGAGATGTTGACTACCTCGCCTGGTGTTCAGGAGGTCCCGTGGGTTCGATTAGCCTGAGAGATGTTGACCACCTCGCCTGGTGTGCAGGAGGTCCCGTGGGTTCGATTAGCCTGAGAGATGTTGACAACCTCGCCTGGTCTACAGGAGGTCGTGGGTTCCATTCCCGACCCTGAGAGATGTTGACCACCTCGCCTGGTGTGCAGGAGGTCCCGTGGGTTCGATTAGCCTGAGAGATGTTGACAACCTCGCCTGGTCTACAGGAGGTCGTGGGTTCCATTCCCGACCCTGAGAGATGTTGACCACCTCGCCTGGTGTGCAGGAGGTCCCGTGGGATCGATTAGCCTGAGAGATGTTGACAACCTCGCCTGGTCTACAGGAGGTCGTGGGTCTGATTACACTGAGAGATGTTGACTACCTCGCCTGGTCTACAGGAGGTCCCGTGGGCTCGATTAGCCTGAGAGATGTTGACTACCTCGCCTGGTACGCAGGAGGTCGTGGGTTCGATTACACTGAGAGATGTTGACTACCTCGCCTGGTCGGCAGGAAGTCGTGGGTTCCATTCCCGACAGTAGGAGGCTGCTAGATTTTTGTGCAGCCCATGGGCTTGTAATTACCAACACTCTGTTCCGGCATCGGCGCATCCACACAACATCATGGATGCATGCCGGGTCCAAGCAAGAACATCTGCTGGACTACGTAGTGACGGAACAGCGGATGCAGGCCCATGTCCTTGACACCAGGACCTACCGTGGAGCTGATCTGCCCTCTGACCATCGACTAGTCATCTGTAAGATGCGCCTCCCGTTCTTCCACTCCGGTGGTGGGTGTACACCCAGGACCCCATTCCAACCTAAGGTGGCCTGGTCTCGGTTAGCTGATGAAAGTTGTTGAGGGGAAATGGGCGAGGTTTAGGACTGTGACTCATGCAGCTGCATTGGCTGCTTTGGGTACGCGGTCCAGACCTCCCCAGAGACCCTGGATGACAGAGGTGTTAAGGATGGTTGAGAAAAAGCGACAGGCCCACTGTCATCGGCTACAGAATCCCACGTCAAAGAATGAGGAGGCTTACCGCAGCCTTCGCTCGGAGGTTTGGAGAGCCGTGAGGCGCTGCAAGGTTGGGTGGTGGTCGCGGGTTGCTGAGGAAATGGAGTTTGCCTCGGTGGCCCGCGATCACAAATCTCTATTTAACTCCATCAAAAAGTAACCTGCAGCGCCACACCTATTACCATCATTAGGGGAAAAAACGGTGATCCAATCTCCGACCCCCAGGAACAGGTTTGCAGATTTGCTGGGCATTTCTGTGAGGTCCTGGGGGAGGAAAAATCCCTCAGCCAGGAAAACATCGTGGCACAGAGTGAGGATGACCCTGCTGAGGCTGCGGTGCCTCAAATATTGGAAGAAGTCACCCCCTGTGAGTGGCTGGCTGAGGTGCCATCAGTTGAGGAAGTACTGAAGGCGATCCGGAGTCTGAGACCAGGAAAGGCACCGGGCAGAGACGATCTCCCAAGCGAAATGCTGAGGGAGGGCGGCGTTTGTGCACAGACTGCCCTATGTGACATCATAACAACAGTCTGGACCACTGGACGGGTTCCGCAGGATTGAAAGGATGCCCTGGTGGTCCCCCTCTTTAAGAAGGGGGACCACACAGACTGTAACAACTACAGGGGCATCTCACTCCTCAGTGTGCCGGGAAAGGTCCTGGCAAGGATTATTCAACATCGCCTTGCCAGGCACGCTGAGGAGAGGCTTGTGGAGCCCCAATGCGGTTTCAGGAAAGGGCGGTCCTGCACAGATGCCATATTTTCTGTCCGTCTGCTACAGCAGACGTGTAGGGAATTCCAACAAGACCTACATCTTTGCTTTATTGATCTGGTCAAGGCCTATGACACCATCAGTAGGCCAGGGCTCTGGGTTGTTCTTCGTGCTTTTGGAGTCCCTGACCCTCTGCTCACGCTCATTAAGGACCTTCATGATGGTGAGCAGGCCCGGATAAAATTACGTGGCCGGGAGTTGGAGCCATTCCCTGTTTACCTTGGGGTGCGACAGGGATGTCCTCTGGCTCCCCACATTATTTAACATCAATTTCGACCACGTAGTTCATGAAGTCTTCGATGGCTGTACCAGAGGAATTTCCATCTGATACAGATACAATGGGAGGCCGATCGATGTCCGGGTGCGGTCTAGAGGGATGGCTGCTCACTCAGAGGAGGAGTTGGAGACGCTGCTGCTGAGACTGGAGCGTGCCACTAAGAGATGGGGTCTTACCATCAGCCCCATCAAAACTAAGCACCTGCCTGGGTATTTTGTACCATCGGACACTCCACCCCCACAACTCGCAATTGGTGATGGGGAGGTTGTGGAGAGAGTGGAGAGTTTCCCATACCTGGGCAGTGTGCTCATGACCGGCTCCGGTTTAACAGCAGAGGTCTCGCTCCGAATCAGTCGAGCGGCAATATCTTTTCATCGGCTGCGTAACGCTGTGTGGAAGCTACCTGGTCTGTCGCTCCACACTAAGCTTCAGGTCTTCTCAGCCACAGTCATTCCCTCCCTTCTCTACGCTTGCGAAACGTGGACTCCCCTAATGGAACATCTTCGCCGGTTAGAAACATTTAGGCTGGCCCGCCTACGATCCATCCTGGGTTTAACCAGGCTGGATTGTGTGAGGAGTTCACAAATCCTTGAAAGATCTGGGCACAGTCCCATCGGTGAGCACCTCCGGCAGGCAAGGCTGCGTTGGCTGGGTCATTTAGCCCGCATGCCCAGCCACCGCATGCCGACACAGCTTTTGTTCGGCCGGATCGAGGGGGCTAAACGGGCGCGTCACGGGCTAGAGAAGAGATGGAGTGACGTGGTACAGGAGGACGTGGAGCTGAGTGGACTTGCCGATGACCGGTACCAGCGGTGTCAAGATCGGCCTCTGTGGAGGAGGCTCGTGAAGGACGCTGCTGGGCAGTTGGAGGCAGTCGCCCTCCAACAACAACGGAGGGCGGAGGAGCGACGCTCACAACAACGAGCGGAGCGCCGGGTGGCTAAAGCGCAGCAGGTTGGCACAGTAGGGGGCACAGGTGGTGCATCAGCCAGTCATCTCAGTCAGTCGACCCGTGGCACCTGGGTCTGCCCCGTGACCTCCTGCCAGCGGGCGTTCGACACTTCACGTGGCCTCAGGGTGCACATGGCCTGGCACAAGCGTCGTGGTGACGTCACCGCCACTTAGTGGCGAATGGCGGTTGTTGTTGTTTTTGTTGTATCTGTGTGTGTGTGTGAGTGTGGTGGTTGTGATGGTTGTGGTTATTGTTGTGACTGTTGTGATTATTGCTGTGATTGTTGCTGTTGTGGTGTTGTTGTGCCTGTAGGTGACTGTGTGATGGTTGTGTTTGTGATGACTGTTGTTGTGATGATTGTTGTGATTGTTGTGATAATTGTTGTTGTTGTGATGATTGTTGTTGTGATGACTGTTGTTGTGATGATTGTTGTGATGATTATTGTTGTGGTGATTGTTGTGATGATTGTTGTTGTGATGATTGTTGTTGCTGTGATTGTTGTTGCTGTGATTGTTGTTGTGGTGATTGTTGTTGTGATGATTGTTGTTGTTGTGATGATTGTTGTTGTGATGATTGTTGTTGTGATGATTGTTGTTGTGGTGTTGTTGTTGTGGTGATGATTGTTTGTGGTGATTGTTGTTGTGATGATTGTTGTTGTTGTGATGATTGTTGTTGTGATGATTGTTGTTGTGATGATTGTTGTTGTTGTGGTGTTGTTGTTGTGGTGATGATTGTGTTTCTGATGATTGTTGTTGTGATGATTGTTGTTGTGGTGATTGTTGTTGTGGTGATTGTTGTTGTGATGATTGTTGTTGTGGTGTTGTTGTGGTGATGATTGTTTGTGGTGATTGTTGTTGTGATGATTGTTGTTGTGATGATTGTTGTTGTTTTGGTGTTGTTGTTGTGGTGATGATTGTGTTTCTGATGATTGTTGTTGTGATGATTGTTGTTGTTGTGACGATTGTTGTTGTTGTGGTGATTGTTGTGATGATTGTTGTTGTGGTGATTGTTGTTGTGATGATTGTTGTTGTTATGGTTGTTGTTGTTGTGGTGATTGTTGTTGTGATGATTATTGTTGTTGTGATGATTGTTGTTGTGTTGTTGTTGCAGTGAGAAGGACGTGGACGAGGTGCTGCAGACACACACGGTGTTTGTCAACGTCTCTAAAGGCCACACGGCCAAGAAGGACGATCTCTTAGCGGCCTTCTCCACCGACAACCTCACGGAGATCTGCAAGGAGGTGAGCGGCCGCCCCTCCTCACTGCCGCCCCTCCTCACCGCCCCTCCTCACCGCCGCTCACCAACTCACCCACCCACTCACCCACTCACTCAATCACACACTCAGTCATCCACTCACTCACTCACCACTCACTCACCACTCACTCACCTACTCATTCACACACTCAGTCACCCACTCACTCACTCACCACTCACTCACCCACTCACTCACCCACTCACTCACCCACCTACTCACTCACTCACACACTCAGTCATCCACTCACTCACTCACTCACCACTCAATCACACACTCAGTCACCCATTCACTCACTCACTCACTCACCCACTCACTCACCCACTCACTCACCCACCTACTCACCCACCCACCCACTCACCCACCCACTCACCCACTCACTCAATCACCCACTCACCCACCCATTGACCCACTCACCCACCCACTCACTCACCCACCCACTCCTCACTCACTCACCCACTCACGCACTCACCCACTCACTCACTCACCCACTCACTCACTCACCCACCCACCCACTCACCCACTCACCCACTCACTCAATCACCCACTCACTCACCACTCACTCACTCACCCACTCACTCACTCACCCACTCACTCACCACTCACACACTCACTCACCACTCACCCACTCACTCACTCACTCAATCACACACTCAGTCATCCACTCACTCACTCACCACTCACCCACTCACTCACCACTCACTCACTCACTCACCACTCACTCACTCACTCACCCACCCACTCACTCAATCACACACTCAGTCATCCACTCACTCACTCACCACTCACCCACTCACTCACCACTCACTCACTCACTCACCCACCCACTCACTCAATCACACACTCAGTCATCCACTCACTCACTCACTCACCACTCACCCACTCACTCAATCACACACTCAGTCATCCACTCACTCACTCACTCACCACTCACCCACTCACTCACCACTCACCCACTCACTCACCACTCACTCACCACTCACTCACTCACCCACCCACCCACCCACTCACCCACCCACTCACCCACCCACTCCTCACTCACTCACCCACCCACTCACTCACCCACTCACCCACTCACTCATCCACTCACTCACTCACCACTCACCCACTCACTCACCACTCACTCACCCACTCACTCACCACTCACCCACTCACTCACCCACCCACTCACCCACTCACTCACCCACTCACTCACTCACCCACCCACTCACCCACTCACTCACCCACTCACTCACTCACCACTCACTCACCCACTCACCCACTCACTCACCCACTCACTCACCACTCACTGACTCACCCACTCACCCACCCATTCACCCACTCACTCACTCACTCACCCGTTCACCCACCCACTCACCCAGTCACCCACTCGCTCATCCCCTCACTTACTCACTCACTCACCCACCCACTCACTCACTCACTCACCCACCCACTCACTCACTCACTCACCCACTCACCCACTCACTCACTCACCCACCCACTCACTCACCTACTCACTCACCACTCACTCACTCACTCACCCACTCACTCACTCACTCACCATCCACTCACTCACCACTCACTCACTCACTCACCCACCCACTCACTCACTCACCCACTCACCCACCCACCCACTCACCCACCCACTCACTCATTCACCCACTCACCCACCCACTCACGCACTCACTCACTCACCCACTCACTCACTTACCCACCCACTCACTCACTCACCCACTCACCCACTCACTCACCCACCCACTCACTCACCCACCCACCCACCCGCCCACTCACCCACTCACCCACTCACTCACCCACTCACTCACCACTCATTCACTCACTCACCCACCCACTCACTCACCCACTCACCCACTCACCACCCACTCACCACCCACTCACCACCCACTCACCCACTCACCCACTCACCCACCCACCCACTCATCCACCCACCCACCCACTCATACACCCACTCATTCACTCACTCACCCACTCACTCACTCACCCACCCACCCACTCATACACCCACTCATTCACTCACGCACCCACTCACTCACTCACCACTCACTCACTCACTCACCCACTCACTCACTCACTAACCACCCACTCACTCACTCACCACTCACTCACCCACCCACTCACTCACTCACCCACTCACTCACCCACCCACTCACCCACCCACTCATTCATTCACCCACTCACCCACCCACTCACTCACGCACTCACTCACTCACCCACTCACTCACTTACCCACCCACTCACTCACTCACCCACTCACCCACCCACTCACTCACCCACTCACCCACCCACCCGCCCACTCACCCACTCACCCACTCACTCACTCACTCACCACTCACTCACTCACTCACCCACCCACTCACTCACCCACTCACCCACTCACTCACTCACCACCCACTCACTCACTCACTCACCCACCCACCCACTCACCCACCCACCCACTCATACACCCACTCATTCACTCACTCACCCACCCACTCACTCACTCACCCACCCACTCACTCACTCACTCACCCACCCACCCACTCATACACCCACTCATTCACTCACTCACCCACCCACTCACTCACTCACCCACTCACTCACCCACTCACCCACTCACTCACTCACCCATTCACCCAACCACTCACTCATTCACTCATCCACTCACTCACTCACCCACCCACTCACTCACCCACACACTCACCCACTCACTCACTCACCCACCCACTCACTCACCCACTCACCCACTCACTCACTCACCACCCACTCACTCACTCACTCACCCACCCACCCACTCACCCACCCACCCACTCATACACCCACTCATTCACTCACTCACCCACCCACTCACTCACTCACCCACCCACTCACTCACTCACCCACCCACCCACTCATTCATTCACCCACTCACCCACCCACTCACTCACGCACTCACTCACTCACCCACTCACTCACTTACCCACCCACTCACTCACTCACCCACTCACCCACCCACTCACTCACCCACTCACCCACCCACCCGCCCACTCACCCACTCACCCACTCACTCACCCACTCACCCACTCACTCACTCACCACCCACTCACTCACTCACTCACCCACCCACCCACTCACCCACCCACCCACTCATACACCCACTCATTCACTCACTCACCCACCCACTCACTCACTCACCCACCCACTCACTCACCCACCCACTCATACACCCACTCATTCACTCACTCACCCACCCACTCACTCACTCACCCACTCACTCACCCACTCACCCACTCACTCACTCACCCATTCACCCAACCACTCACTCATTCACTCATCCACTCACTCACTCACCCACCCACTCACTCACCCACACACTCACCCACTCACTCACTCACCCACCCACTCACTCACCCACTCACCCACTCACTCACTCACCACCCACTCACTCACTCACCCACCCACCCACTCATACACCCACTCATTCACTCACTCACCCACTCACTCACTCACCCACCCACTCACTCACTCACCCACCCACCCACTCATACACCCACTCATTCACTCACTCACCCACCCACTCACTCACTCACTCACCCACTCACTCACCCACTCACTCACTCACCCATTCACCCAACCACTCACTCATTCACTCATCCACTCACTCACTCACCCACCCACTCACTCACCCACACACTCACCCACTCACTCACTCACCCACCCACTCACCCACTCACCCACTCACTCACTCACCCACTCACCCACCCACTCACTCACCCACTCACTCATCCACTCACTCACTCACCCACCCACTCACTCACCCACCCACACACTCACCCACTCACTCACTCACCCACCCACTCATACACCCACCCACTCACTCACCTACTCACCCACTCACTCACCCACTCACTCACCTACTCACCCACTCACTCACCCACCCACACACTCACTCACTCACCCACTCACCCACTCACTCACTCACCCACCCACTCACTCACCCACCCACTCACCCACCCACTCACCCACTCACTCACTCACCCACTCACTCACTTACCCACCCACTCACTCACTCACTCACCCACTCACCCACCCACTCACTCACCCACTCACTCACTCACCCACTCACTCACCCACCCACCCACCCGCCCACTCACCCACTCACTCACCCACTCACTCACTCACCCACTCACTCACCACTCATTCACTCACTCACCCACCCACTCACTCACCCACTCACTCACCCACTCACCCACCCACCCACTCACTCACTCACCCATTCACCCAACCACTCACTCACCCACCCACTCACTCACTCACTCACCCACTCACCCACTCACCCACCCACTCACCCACCCACCCACCCACTCACCCACCCCTCACCCACTCACCCACCCCTCACCCCCCCCCCGTGTAAGATCCTGCTGAAGGGTGAGCTTCAGGTGAGTGATCGTGAGCGATCCAGCGAGCTGGAACAGTCCTTCCGGGACATCGCCACTCACTCACTCACTCACCCATTCACCCAACCACTCACTCACCTACCCACTCATACACTCACTCACTCACCCACTCACCCACCCACCCACTCATACACTCACCCACTCACTCACTCACTCACCCTCTCATCCACCCACTCACTCACTCACCCACTCACTCACTCACCACTCACTCACCCACTCAGTCACTCACCCACTCACTCACCACTCACTCACTCACCCATTCACCCAACCACTCACTCACTCACCCACCCACTCATACACCCACCCACTCACTCACCTACTCACCCACTCACTCACCCACTCACTCACTCACTCACCCACCCACACACCCACTCACTCACCCACCCATTCACCCACCCACTCACCCACCCACTCACCCACCCCTCACCCTCCCCCGTGTAAGATCTTGCTGAAGGGTGAGCTTCAGGTGAGTGATCGTGAGCGTTCCAGCCACCTGGAACAGTCCTTCCGTGACATCGCCACTCACTCACCCACCCACTCATACACTCACCTACTTACCCACTCACTCACCCACCCACACACCCACTCACTCACCCACCCACACACCCACCCACTCACCCACTCACCCACCCACTCACCCACCCCTCACCCTCCCCGTGTAAGATCCTGCTGAAGGGTGAGCTTCAGGTGAGTGATCGTGAGCGATCCAGCCAGCTGGAACAGTCCTTCCGGGACATCGCCACTCACTCACTCACTCACCCACTCACTCACTCACCACTCACTCACCCACCCACTCATACACTCACCCACTCACTCACTCACCCTCTCACCCACCCACTCACTCACTCACCCACTCACTCACTCACCCACTCACCCACCCACTCACCCACTCACCCACCCACCCACTCACCCACCCACCCACTCACCCACCCCTCACCCCTCCCCCGTGTAAGATCCTGCTGAAGGGTGAGCTTCAGGTGAGTGATCGTGAGCGATCCAGCCAGCTGGAACAGTCCTTCCGGGACATCGCCACTCACTCACTCACTCACCCACTCACTCACTCACCACTCACTCACCCACCCACTCATACACTCACCCACTCACTCACTCACCCTCTCACCCACCCACTCACTCACTCACCCACTCACTCACTCACCCACTCACCCACCCACTCACCCACTCACCCACCCACCCACTCACCCACCCACCCACTCACCCACCCCTCACCCCTCCCCCGTGTAAGATCTTGCTGAAGGGTGAGCTTCAGGTGAGTGATCGTGAGCGATCCAGCCAGCTGGAACAGTCCTTCCGGGACATCGCCACTCACTCACTCACTCACCCACTCAACCACCCACTCACCCACTCAGTCACTCACTCACTCACCCACTCACTCACCTACTCACCCACACACTCAATCACCCAATCACCCACTCACCCACCCACTCACCCACCCACTCACTCACCCACTCACTCACCCACCCACTCATTCACTCACTCACCCACTCACCCACCCACTCACTCACCCACCCACTCACCCATTCACCCAACCACTCACTCACCCACCCACTCACTCACTCACCCACTCACCCACCCACCCACCCACTCACCCACCCACCCACCCACTCACCCACCCACTCACTCACCCACCCACTCACCCACCCCTCACCCCCCTCCCCCGTGTAAGATCTTGCTGAAGGGTGAGCTTCAGGTGAGTGATCGTGAGCGATCCAGCCAGCTGGAACAGTCCTTCCGTGACATCGCCACTCACTCACTCACTCACCCATTCACCCAACCACTCACTCACCTACCCACTCATACACTCACTCACTCACCCACTCACCCACCCACCCACTCATACACTCACCCACTCACTCACTCACTCACCCTCTCATCCACCCACTCACTCACTCACTCACCCACTCACTCACTCACCACTCACTCACCCACTCAGTCACTCACCCACTCACTCACCACTCACCACTCACTCACTCACCCATTCACCCAACCACTCACTCACTCACCCACCCACTCATACACCCACCCACTCACTCACCTACTCACCCACTCACTCACCCACTCACTCACTCACTCACTCACCCACCCACACACCCACTCACTCACCCACCCATTCACCCACCCACTCACCCACCCACTCACCCACCCCTCACCCTCCCCCGTGTAAGATCCTGCTGAAGGGTGAGCTTCAGGTGAGTGATCGTGAGCGATCCAGCCAGCTGGAACAGTCCTTCCGGGACATCGCCACTCACTCACTCACTCACCCACTCAGTCACTCACTCACCACTCACTCACCCACCCATTCACCCAACCACTCACTCACCTACCCACTCATACACTCACCCACTCACCCACCCACTCACCCACTCACCCACCCACCCACTCACTCACCCACTCACTCACTCACTCACCCACCCACTCACCCACTCACCCACCCACTCACTCACCCACCCACCCACTCACCCACCCCTCACCCTCCCCCGTGTAAGATCTTGCTGAAGGGTGAGCTTCAGGTGAGTGATCGTGAGCGATCCAGCCAGCTGGAACAGTCCTTCCGGGACATCGCCACGACCGTGGCTGACAAGTGCGTCAACCCCGACACCAGGAGGCCATACCCCGTCGGGGTGGTGGAGAGAGCCATGAGGGACGCGCACGTGTCCGTGAGGACCAACAAGAGCACCAAGCAGCAGGTGGGTGGGTGGGTGGGTGGGTGGGTGAGTGAGTGGGTGGGTGGGTGGGTGAGTGGGTGAGTGGGTGAGGGGTGGGTGAGTGAGTGGGTGAGTGAGTGGGTGAGTGAGTGGGTGGGTGAGTGAGTGGGTGGGTGTGTGAGTGGGTGAGTGAGTGGGTGGTGGGTGAGTGGGTGGGTAGGTGGGTGGGTCTGTGAGTGAGTCTGGGAGTGAGTCTGTGAGTGAGTGAGTGGGTGGGTGGGTGAGTGAGTGGGTGGGTGAGTGGGTGGGTGAGTGAGTGGGTGGGTGGGTGGGTGAGTGGGTGGGTGGGTGGGTGAGTGGGTGTGTGAGTGAGTGGGTGAGTCTGTGAGCGAGTCTGTGAGTGAGTGAGTGGGTGGGTCGGTGGGTGAGTGAGTGGGTGGGTGGGTGAGTGGGTGGGTGGGTGGGTGAGTGAGTGAGTGGGTGAGTGAGTGGGTGGGTGAGTGAGTGAGTGGGTGGGTGGGTGAGTGAGTGAGTGAGTGGGTGGGTGGGTGAGTGAGTGGGTGGGTGGGTGAGTGGGTGAGTAGGTGAGTGAGTGGGTGGGTGGGTGGGTGAGTCTGTGAGTGAGTGAGTCTGTGAGTGAGTCTGTGAGTCTGTGAGTGAGTCTGTGAGTCTGGGAGTGAGTGGGTGAGTGAGTGGGTGAGTGAGTGGGTGGGTGAGTGAGTGAGTGGGTGGGTGAGTGAGTGAGTGGGTGAGTGGGTGGGTGAGTGAGTGGGTGAGTGGGTGGGTGGGTGAGTGGGTGAGTGAGTGGGTGGGTGATTGGGTGGGTGGGTGAGTGGGTGGGTGGGTGGATGATTGGGTGGGTGGGTGGGTGAGTGGGTGGGTGGGTGAGTGGGTGGGTGGGTGAGTGAGTGGGTGGGTGGGTGGGTGAGTGAGTGGGTGAGTGAGTGAGTGAGTGGGTGGGTTAGTGGGTGGGTGGGTGAGTGGGTGAGTAGGTGAGTGAGTGGGTGGGTGGGTGGGTGAGTGGGTGGGTGGGTGAGTGGGTGAGTGGGTGAGTGAGTGGGTGGGTGGGTGGGTGAGTGGGTGAGTGGGTGAGTGAGTGGGTGAGTGAGTGGGTGGGTGGGTGGGTGAGTGGGTGGGTGGGTGAGTGGGTGGGTGAGTGGGTGAGTGGGTGAGTGAGTGAGTGAGTTTGTGGGTGGGTGAGTAGTGGGTGAGTGAGTGGGTGGGTGAGTGGGTGGGTGGGTGGGTGAGTGGGTGGGTGAGTGGGTGAGTGAGTGGGTGGGTGGGTGAGTGAGTGAGTGAGTGGGTGGGTGGGTGAGTGGGTGGGTGGGTGGGTGAGTGGGTGGGTGGGTGAGTGGGTGGGTGGGTGAGTGGGTGGGTGAGTGGGTGAGTGAGTGGGTGAGTGAGTGGGTGGGTGGGTGAGTGAGTGAGTGAGTGGGTGGGTGGGTGAGTGGTGAGTGGGTGGGTGAGTGGGTGAGTGGGTGAGTGGGTGGGTGAGTGAGTGAGTTTGTGGGTGGGTGAGTAGTGGGTGAGTGAGTGGGTGAGTGGGTGGGTGGGTGAGTGGGTGGGTGGGTGGGTGAGTGGGTGGGTGGGTGAGTGAGTGAGTGGATGGGTGGGTGGGTGAGTGAGTGAGTGAGTGGGTGGGTGGGTGAGTGGGTGGGTGGGTGGGTGAGTGAGTGAGTAGGTGGGTGAGTGGTGGGTGAGTGAGTGGGTGAGTGGGTGGGTGTGTGGGTGAGTGAGTGGGTGGGTGAGTGGGTGAGTGGGTGAGTGAGTGGGTGGGTGGGTGAGTGAGTGGGTGGTGAGTGAGTGAGTGGTGAGTGAGTGAGTGAGTGGGTGGGTGAGTGGGTGGGTGAGTGAGTGAGTGGGTGGGTTGGTGAGTGAGTGAGTGGGTGAGTGGGTGAGTGAGTGAGTGGGTGGGTGAGTGGGTGGGTGAGTGGGTGAGTGGTGAGTGAGTGGGTGGGTGAGTGAGTGAGTGGGTGGTGAGTGAGTGGGTGGTGAGTGAGTGAGTGGTGAGTGAGTGAGTGGGTGAGTGGGTGGGTGAGTGAGTGGGTGGGTGGGTGAGTGAGTGGGTGAGTGGATGGGTGAGTGTGTGAGTGGGTGAGTGAGTGGGTGGGTGAGTGAGTGGGTGGGTGGGTGAGTGAGTGAGTGGGTGAGTGAGTGGGTGAGTGGGTCAGTGAGTGGTGAGTGAGTCTGTGAGTGAGTTAGTCTGTGAGTCTGTTTGCGTGTGTAACGTGTGTGCATGTAACGTGTGTACGTGTGCGTGTGTACGTGTGTGCGTGTGTACATGCGTGTAGTTGTGTGTGCGTGTAACGTGTGTGTGCGTGTAACGTGTGTGTGTGTGTGTGCGTGTAACGTGTGTGTGTGTGTGTGCGTGTAACGCGTGTGTGTGCGTGTAACGTGTGTGTGACGCGTGTGTGTGTGTAACGTGTGTGTGTGTGTAACGTGTGTGTGTGTGTAACGTGTGTGTGTGTGCAACGTGTGTGTACGCGTGCGTGTAACGTGCGTGTGCGTGTACGTGTGCGTGTAACATGTGTGCGTGTAACGTGTGTGTGTGTGCGTGTAACGTGTGTGTGTGTAACGTGTGTGTGTGTGCGTGTAACGTGTGTGTGCGTGTAACGTGTGTGTGCGTGTAACGTGTGTGTGCGTGTAACGTGTGTGCGTGTAACGTGTGCGTGTAACGTGTGTGCGTGTAACGTGTGTGCGTGTAACGTGTGTGTGCATGTAACGTGTGTGTGTGTGTGTAACGTGTGTGCGTGTAACGTGTGTGTGTGTAACGTGTGTGTGTGTAATGTGTGTGTGTGTGCGTGTAACGTGTGTGCGTGTAACGTGTGTGTAACGTGTGTGTGTGTGTAACGTGTGTGTGTGTAACGTGTGTGTGTGTAACGTGTGTGTGTGTAATGTGTGTGTGTGTGCGTGTAACGTGTGTGCGTGTAACGTGTGTGTAACGTGTGTGTGTGTGTAACGTGTGTGCGTGTAACGTGTGTGCGTGTAACGTGTGTGTGTGTAACGTGTAACGTGTGTGTGTGTGTGTGTGTGTAACCTGCGTGTGTGTGTGTGTAACGTGTAACGTGTGTGTGTAAATGTGTGTGTAACGTGTGTGTGTGTAAATGTGTGTGTAACGTGTGTGTGAGTGTAACGTGTGTGTGTGTGTAACGTGTAACGTGTAACCTGCGTGCGTGTGTGCGCCCAGGCGCTGGAAGTTATCCGCGTGCTCAAGCAAAGCATGGCCATCGAGAGGGCCCAGATGCGCCTTCGTCTGCTGCTGCCTCTCCGAGTTGGCGGCGGTGGTGGCGGTGGTGGCGGTGGTGGTGGTGGTGGCGATGCCAAGCGCTTGCGGGAGAAGCTGAGGCCTTACATGGTGGTCACCGAGAGGGAGGAGTGCGGAGATCGTGAGATGGAGATTGTGAGAGTCGCACGTGCACGCAAACGTACATACACATACACACACACTTACACACGCACACACACGCTCACGTATATACACACACACGCACACGTACACACACACGTACACGCACACACACACACACACACGTACACACGTACACGCACACACACACAGGCACACACACGTACACGCACACACACACACACGTACACACACGTACACACGCACACACACGTACACGCACATACACACACACACGTACATGCACGCACACGTACACACACACGTACACACACGTACAACAACAACCGCCATGCGCCACTAAGTGGCGGTGACGTCACCACGACGCTTGTGCCAGGCTATGTGCACCGTGAGGCCACGTGAAGTGTTGAACGCCCGCTGGCAGGAGGTCACTGGGCAGACCCAGGTGCCACGGGTCGACTGACTGAGATGACTGGCTGATGCACCACCTGTGCCCCCTACTGTGCCAACCCGCTGTGCTTTAGCCACCCGGCGCTCCGCTCGTTGTTCTGAGCGTCGCTCCTCCGCCCTCCGTTGTTGTTGGAGGGCGACTGCCTCCAACTGCCCAGTAGCATCCTTCACGAGCCTCCTCCACAGAGGCCGATCTTGACACCGCTGGTACCAGTCATCGGCAAGTCCACTCAGCTCCACGTCCTCCTGTACCACATCACTCCATCTCTTCTCTAGCCCGTGCCGCGCCCGCTTAGCCCCCTCAATCCGGCCAAACAAAAGCTGTTTCGGCATGCGGTGGCTGGGCATGCGGGCTACATGACCCAGCCATCGCAGCCTTGCCTGCCGGAGGAGCTCACCGATGGGACCCTGCCCAGATCTTTCAAGGATTTGTGAGCTCCTCACACAATCCAGTCTGGTTAAACCCAGGATGGATCGTAGGCAGGCCAGCCTAAATGTTTCTAACCGGCGAAGATGCTCCATTAGGTGGGTCCACGTTTCGCAAGCGTAGAGAAGGGAGGGAATGACCGTGGCCGAGAAGACCTGAAGCTTAGTGCGGAGCGACAGACCAGGTAGCTCCCACACAGCGTTACGCAACCGATGAAAAGATATTGCCGCTCGACTGATTCGGAGTGAGACCCCTGCTGTTAAACTGGAGCCAGTCATAAGCACACTGCCCAGGTATGGGAAACTCTCCACTCTCTCTACAACTGCCCCATCACCGATTGGGAGTTGTGGGGGTGGAGTGTCCGATGGTACAAAATACCCAGGCAGGTGCTTAGTTTTGGTGGGGCTGATGGTAAGGCCCCACCTCTTAGTGGCACGCTCCAGTCTCAGCAGCAGTGTCTCCAACTCCTCCTCTGACTGAGCAGCTATTACCAAATCATCAGCATACATAACGTGGTTGAGCAATAGGGAGCCATCCCTTGACCGCACCCGGGCATCGATCAGCCTCCCATTATATCTGTACCATATGGAGATTACCCCAGTACAGCTATTGAAGGCTTCACGAACTACGTGGTCAAAATAGATGTTAAATAATGTGGGAGCCAGAGGACATCCCTGTCGCACCCCAAGGTGTACAGGGAATGGCTCTGACTCCCGGCCACGTAGTTTTACCCGGGCCCGCTCACCATCATGAAGGTCCTTAATGATCGTGAGCAGAGGGTCAGGTACTCCAAAAGCACGAAGAACGACCCAGAGCCCAGGCCTTCTGATGGTATCATAGGCCTTGACCAGGTCAATAAAGCAGAGATGTAGGTCTTGTTGGAATTCCCTACACCTCTGCTGTAGCAGACGGACAGAAAATATGGCATCTGTGCAGGACCGCCCTTTCCTGAAAACGCATTGGGGCTCCGCAAGCCTCTCCTCAGCGTGCCTGGCAAGGCGATGCTGAATAATCCTTGCCAGGACCTTTCCCGGCACACTGAGGAGTGAGATGCCCCTGTAGTTGTTACAGTCTGTGCGGTCCCCCTTCTTAAAAAGGGGGACCACCAGGGCATCCTTCCAATCCTGCGGAACCCGTCCAGTGGTCCAGACTGTTGTTATGATGTCATATAGGGCAGTCTGTGCACAAACGCCACCCTCCCTCAGCATTTCACTTGGGAGATCATCTCTGCCCGCTGCCTTTCCTGGTCTCAGACTCCGGATCGCCTTCAATACTTCCTCAGCAGATGGCACCTCAGCCAGCCACTCACAGGGGGTGACTTCTTCCAATATTTGAGGCACCGCAGCCTCAGCAGGGTCATCCTCACATTGTGCCACGATGTTTTCCTGGCTGAGGGATTTTCCCTCCCCCAGGACCTCACAGAAATGCTCAGCAAATCTGCGAACCTGCTCCTGGGGGTCGGAGATTGGATCACCGTTTTTTCCCCTAATGATGGTAATAGGTGTGGCGCTGCAGGTTACTTTTTTGATGGAGTTAAATAGAGATTTGTGATCACGGGCCACTGAGGCAGACTCCATCTCCTCAGCAACCCGCGACCACCACCCATCCTTGCAGCACCTCACGGCTCTCCGAACCTCCGAGCGAAGGCTGCGGTAAGCCTCCTCATTCTCTGACGTGGGATTCTGTAGCCGATGACAGTGGGCCTGTCGCTTTTTCTCAACCATCCTGAACACCTCCTCTGTCAGCCAGGGTCTCTGGGGAGGTCTGGACCGCGTACCCAAAGCAGCCATTGCAGCTGCATGAGTCACAGTCCTAAACCTCGCCCATTTACCCTCGACATCAGGAGGAGTCGGGGACGATGCCAATCCCTGCCGCAAGCGATGATGAAATTCTCGCTTGCAACTTTCATCAGATAACTGAGACCAGGCCACTTTATGTTTAATGGGGTCCTGGGTGTACACCCACCACCGGAGTGGAAGAATGGCAGGCGCATCTTACAGATGACTAGTCGATGGTCAGAGGGCAGATCAGCTCCACGGTAAGTCCTGGTATCAAGGACATGGGCTCGCATTCGCTGGTCCGTCACTATGTAGTCCAGCAGATGTTCTTGCTTGGACCCGGCATGCATCCATGATGTTGTATGGATGCGCCGATGCCGGAACAGCGTGTTGGTAATTACAAGCCCATGGGCTGCACAAAAATCTAGCAGCCTCCTACCGTTGTTATTGAGCTGATCTGGCCCATGCCCTCCAATCACTCCAGACCAGGTGCCAGTATCATGACCAACTCGGGCATTGAAGTCACCTAACATGATGACTCTATCCCGAGGGGCCACTTTAGCCAGCACCTGTGACAGGAGGTCATAGAAGGCATCTGACTCATCGGCTTTGCCTGCATCCCTCCACGGATGTTCATCTTCGGTGGGGGCATAAGTAACCACGACCACCATTCCTCGCCTCCGGTTGATGGGAAGGCGAGCCCAAAGTAGCCTGGGGCTTACAGCTTCCCACACCTCACTGCCACGCTCCCACGCCCCCTTCATTCTTTTGTTCAAAAGAAGACCCACACCCTGTTGTTTAGCAGTCTGCTGCCCCGAGTAGAGGACTGTCCACCCCTCATGGTGGCAGGAGCCAGAGCCGGTCCACCGGACCTCCTGAATGCCGCATAGATCCAGGCAGTACCGGTCCAGCTCCCGACAGAGGAGTGGCAGCCTCTCCTCTGCAGTGAGCGTTCCAACATTCCACGTGGCCACCCGTAGTGGCTTTTCGTTGTTTCTGGAGTAGCCCCGAGGGTAGGTATTCAATCTCCTGGCTCCGCCAATTGGGGTTTGGCCAGGAGACGTCATAGACGCCTGGCCCCCCGGGGCCTCCGGCACAAGCTTATTAGTTACATATTTCAGTTTAATTCGTGGTTTCGTGGTAATTAATTGAAGGTGGAGGGGTTACCAGCCCCTCGCACCCATCCAGAGCCCCCGTTTAGCCCCTGTGGTGGACACATATGCCATGAGGGGAGGAGCCAATCAAAATTGGATCTCCCCCCACAGCACTGTCCACGACAGAGTTGCCCGTCCGGCACCGCGAGGAGGTAGGGGGTTGTTTTGCCGGACACGTACACACACGCACACACACACAGGCACACACACGTACACGCACACACACACACGCACACGTACACGCACGCACACGTACACACGTACACACACGTACACACACGTACACACACACACACGTACACACAAACACGTACACACACACGTACACGCACACACACGTACAGGCACACACGTACACACACACGCACACACACAGACACAACAACAACCGCCATTCGCCACTAAGTGGCGGTGACGTCACCACGATGCTTGTGCCAGGCTATGTGCACCCTGAGGCCACGTGAAGTGTCGAACGCCCGCTGGCAGGAGGTCACTGGGCAGACCCAGGTGCCACGGGTCGACTGACTGAGATGACTGGCTGATGCACCACCTGTGCCCCTTACTGTGCCAACCTGCTGTGCTTTAGCCACCCGGCGCTCCGCTCGTTGTTGTGAGCGTCGCTCCTCCGCCCTCCATTGTTGTTGGAGGGCGACTGCCTCCAACTGCCCAGTAGCATCCTTCACGAGCCTCCTCCACAGAGGCCGATCTTGACACCGCTGGTACCAGTCATCGGCAAGTCCACTCAGCTCCACGTCCTCCTGTACCACATCACTCCATCTCCTCTCTAGCCCGTGCCGCGCCCGCTTAGCCCCCTCGATCCGGCCAAACAAAAGCTGTTTCGGCATGCGGTGGCTGGGCATGCGGGCTACATGACCCAGCCATCGCAGCCTTGCCTGTCGGAGGTGTGTGTGACTGTGTGTGTGTGTGTGAGACTGTGTGTGTGACTGTATGTGACTGTGTGTGTGTGTGTGTGCGTGACTGTGTGTGTTTGCGTGACTGTGTGTGTGTGTGACTGTGTGACTGTTTGTGTGACTGTGTGTGTGTGACTGTGTGTGTGTGTAGGTGTGTGTGTGTGACTGTGTGTGTGACTGTGTGGCTGTGACTGTGTGTGACTGTGTGACTGTGTGACTGTGTGTGTGTGACTGTGTGTGTGTGACTGTGTGTGTGTGACTGTGTGACTGTGTGTGTGTGACTGTGTGTGTGTGACTGTGTGTGTGTGTGTGA